TGGTTTTGGAGCAGGGGGAGCTTCTCAGCTTCTTACCTGAGCCACTCCTGTGGCCCTTTCCCCGCTACCAAAAAACCCACCAGACCAGAACAGTAACAAAACAACAAAAAAACCCACCACAAAACAAAACAACAAAAAAAAAGGGAGGGGGAACTAAGATGTGTCCCCCTGGCAGGAAGTAGAAAGGCTGTTTCAGTTAATGTTTGAAATTTTAGTACATTTGTTTTTCTGTGTGCAAATTAGGGAAATATACATGTTACGCCTGTCTATATGCTCATGCATGCTTTTATATAAGTCTTGAAACCTAAGAATAAACTTTATACTTAGAGTACTATTCCTAGACAGAGACCTGTTGATCACTGTGAGTTCTGCAGACTGAAGAGCTCCATGGGGAATTGGGATTGTGCAGGATGTCACCAGAATTGCTTATACTGCTTACGTTGCTACTTCTTTGAGATGATAAAATGCTTAATACATGTTATATGACTGTAGTCTGTTCTTTGAACAAGCACTTTGTCTAGTGTATTAAAGAGAGTGTTTTCAATGTTTTTCTTCAGGTTTTATAGGCTGGTTTGTTGGCATGGCAATCAACATTCATTCTGATCATATTCTCAGAAATCTGAGAAAACCAGGGGAGACTGGTTACAAGATACCAAGAGGTGAGTAAAAATGTTAAAGAAATTTATACAGCAAAAAAAGCATCTCTCATGAGGAGACATGTAGAGAGCTGAACTGGTCAGCCCAGAGAAGGCTCAGGGGGATCTTACTGATGTGTATAAAAATACACTATGGGAGGGAATGAAGAAGAGGGAACCAGACTCTTAGTGGTGCCCAGTGACAGGACCAAAGGCACTGGGAACAAAATTCAAACACATGAAATTACATCTGAATGCATTTTTTGCTGTGAAGGTGATCAAACACTGGAACAAGTTGCCCAGAGAGGTTGTGGAGTTTCCATCTTTAGAGATACTGAAAAATGGACTGGATGTGGTCCTGGGCAACCTGCTCTAGCTGACTCAGTTCGAGCTGGGGAAGTCGGACTAGGTGTTCTCAAGAGGTCTCTTCCAACCTAAAATGATTCTGTGTAAAGATGGCTTCTTAAAGCTCGGTGTGTTTTAGGGAATATAATAATGTATGATGTAAAAGAAAACAGGAAATAGGGGTTGCCTATCTCAAGAAGTGATCTCATAGTGTGGGAAATACTTTAAATTTTTTTTCTCTTGACTCTTAAGTACTCCAAGGATGTTTCACAATATCACATGGCTTGTGTGAGTCTTTGAATGTCATGACCGACTTTGGCTGTGTTTTTGAAAAGTGATAAAAATGTAACACAGGCTGGTGGAGAAAGAAGACCTAAATTATCATCTTAATGTGGGGGAAGAAGAGGAAGGCAGAAAGTATTCAGCAACTGAGGGTAGCTGGCCCATCTTATGTTATCTCATTTATGAAGAAGGAGGGATCTTAGGTAATCGGAGAGCAACAACTGCAGTGGTAAGGGTGATACAGGAAAAAGAGGACAGAAGAGAAGTTAGGCATTATAAATTCTGGCCTTCATGAGAAAAATGAGAATATGAAAGGTCTTCTTAGAGAGACAATTGAATGTTCATATTTCTTGAGACTTTTGGAAACATTAGACTCTTCCAGGTATGTTGCACTCAGTGAGAGCAGGAAAATAATGGTTACCTCTGAATTTTGCTGTTCTCTAAATTTTTCATTTGGTTGTTTCTCTCTTAGTTTTTAGTGAGAATTTTTAATGAAACTGGAAGAACTAATGTATATATGGCAGTAAATTTATTTTTCACCAAAGCAGTAACTTTATAATTTTAATAGATGTAAATCCTAGTGCCCATGTGAAAAAATAATATAAACCTTCTGGACTATGTTCAGTGTACAAAAAAGAATTGTGAAGGAAATGAGATTTTATTTGCTGCCCATTCAGGAGGAGCTGGTTTTTTTGATATATCTTACCAATTTTAAGTGCTTCAATTCTGCTTCTGTCACAAAAGTAAAGTAATTAAAGGAAGGTGAAAACATGTCCTTTATTACACTTGGTAAATACTTGGTTACTTAGTCCCACTGGTAAATTGCATACTGAGATATTATCTATTTGTACACTAACTTTGGAATTAGGGTGAAAGTTCTTATTTTATAAAATTCCCAGCAGGTGAGTACTGATTGTTTACACTGAATTGGCTGTAAAACACTTTTATCATAGACTGCTAATTACTTCTTTCACTGAGTGTCAGGGCTGAAGCAGTAGACCTGACAGGGGGGACTGGGAACAAAAAGGCAACACACTTAAGCTAGAGAATAAATTTGGAACTTCTACTAATAATATTAATATTGTTCATAATTAAGTTAATTAATGAAGTACTTAAATAAATTAAGCATTATATGCTAACTAATGCTGTGGGTATTTTCTGGGACTCCTAAGGGAAAGCATATTTTCTATTTTTAACGTGCTTTTTTAAAGTTTGGTTTAGGATCAACAAGCCAGTTTGATTATGTAATTATTTACAGAGGTGTGAACTCTTGTCTAATACTGATAAAACTTCTTTTCTTCTGTGATTTGAAGAGGAAAAACGGAGCTGGAGCAGGTCTATCTTAGAATGAACCAATTCTCCATGTACAGCTTGAATTGAAAAGCACTGCCTCCACTACCTTTAAAAATTATATAGCAACTTTGATGATATAGCTATTATTTGACTTACTGTAAAAGATAACGTTGGAGATCTCCTTGATTAAGGTGCTTTTAAAATAACTCTGTCCTGCTTTCAGGAGGAATGTTTGAGTATGTCAGTGGAGCTAACTTCTTTGGAGAGATCGTGGAATGGTTTGGATTTGCCCTTGCATGCTGCACCACTGAAAGCCTTGCATTTGCACTGTGTACACTTTTCATCTTGGGTTCAAGGGCAAAACAACACCACCAGTAAGTATTTGTGTCTTTATAATTTCTGTTGTCTCTATGCCACACTTCATTTCCATCTCACAAATTATGATGTCTCATCCCATAGGGATGTTGCAGAGCAAGTCCTGTGAAAGACTCTGCTACTGCAGTGGAGAATGTGGAAGAGAATACTCTGAGTAGAATTAAGCACTGCAGAATTTCAGCGGGATAGTACTGAGCATAAATAGACAAATTGTACAATGAAGTGGTCAAAATAATGTTTAAATGAATGTAGTTAATCCTGGATCTCTAAAGATGAGAGACAGATTTGGGAAAATAGTGTTAATTGATCATATACTTTCACTTGCAGCTCAAACTTGCTTCTGTAATATTAAAATTTTGAAAATCACTCAAGCCTTCTGTAACAGGCAGAATTTATAGTCAAGTCATACTGTCTATAATTAAGTATACAAACAATATGAAAACAATTCTGGTAGATGAGAATAAAGTCTCTGGTCTGTAGTTAAACAGTTTGACTGCTGATGTACTGTATCCATGATAGGGCTTTCCTGTTAACCAAAGGATCATAGTTTGAGAAGATTTATTTTTTGAAAGGATTAGCATGTTTAAAATAATTTGAACTTCCTGAACTTACTTTCATTATTTTCAGCTTCCTGCTTTCATTCTTACACTGAAACTTAGTAGCATAACAGGAAATAAACATGAGTTTATGGAAGAAATAGGTTGAAAAAAATGCCATTGCTAACAGTCTGTCAGGGCAGCCATGGCTATGCCAAGTGGAGTCTTCAAAAACCTCCATAAACAGGTCTTTCTCCACTTTGTTTGTAGGGTGTTCCAGGTCTGTATCACCCTCCCAGAGAACATGTTTTTCCTACTACCCAACTTGAACCTTCCAAGCCTGTCACCTGTGACTATCTCTCCTTGTTTTACCACCTGCTATTACTTAGCAGAGTCACAGATTATCTTTGGTTGGGAGGAGCATTGCAAGGTTGTATAGTTCAGTCATATGGTGGTGACCTGCTCTAACCAGGGCTTGCTCTGTCCACTTGCTCTGTGCCTTCAGGAAAGGTATGGCTCTGTCTTCTCTGAAATTGCTGTAAGTAGTGGAAGACTGCAATTAGATCTGCCTCTTAACTTCCTTTCCAGGCTGAACAAGCCTAGTTCCCTCAATGTCTCCTCTTAAATATTTTTATATGTATTTCCAGCTATACAGTTGTCTTAATGAACATCTGCTGGATTCTTTTCCAGTTTGTGGTTATTTCTGTTGCACAGGAAACTGAAAGCAGTAATGCAGATGCAAGGTCTCAACTGCTGAATAGTGGAGAATAAGCACTTCCCTAAACTTGGTGGCTCTAGCCTACATCATTGTAGGCAACCATTACTGACTCATGTTCAGCCTGTCCACCAAGATGCCCATATACTTTTGTGCAGAGCTACCTTCTAGCCAGACAGTCTCTGGCCTGCAAGCATTTGCATTTTGTTCATATTTTTGCTCTGTTGTCTTAAATAACTCCTCTTCCAGTACCTGTAGGTAGCAATAACAGGGTCCCTTAGTCTCTTCCTCTCCAGACTAAGCAAACCTGGGTTCCTCAGCCTCTCCTTGTATATTATGTTCTTCAGACTCAAATTCCATGATTGGTTTCCATCTATCTTAAGCCTTGACAGCACTCTTTCAGAGCTCTTGATTTATGGAGCATTATGAGAAGCTAATCATTGTTAAATGAAGTAATTTCCACTAAAGGAAAAATGCACAAAAATGGAGGGGGAACATCATAAAAAATCCCAAATCAGACAAAAATAGCAAATCCATATAAGTGAAAAATATTTTGGTGTAGTCTGTTTGGCTTGAAAAACTTGGAATAAATTACTGAAAAAGATAGCGTCAAGCTGGCACTCTACAGCTGCAGGTTATCATGCATTGCATGTTTTGTTCTCTGCTTATTCCAGCTTTGACCTTTTAATTAGCCATTAATAATATGAATATGTGCACCTTTAAGGAACCCAGATGAAGTTAATTTTTTAATTATTACTGTTTTACAGAAGCAGAATAAATATTTGAAAATAGGAGTAAATGTGTTTGTTATGTATGGTGACCAGAAAACATTTAGTAGTGCTATGTGTTTATTCTTTTTCAATTGTTTGGATTTGAAAATAGTTACGATCTTTGAGGGGAATCAGCAGTAAGACTAGTGTAATGTTTGTCACATTCTGTTTGATTATCCAGATCCTGACTGGAACCGAAAACTTTTCTATTAGAGCGGGACTGTCCAGTATATGAAGTATCCCTTGCTTCCACATGAAGTCATTATACAATTGGACATGTTATCACCTTGAACGTTCTTGATTCCCCCCCCCTCACGTCTGCTTCTAAAATGCAAATACTCAGGATGCATAACAACATACATTTTGCAACAACAGTTCCTTCCCTGGCTGCTCTCAGCACCTCTGTTGGTTTCATTTCCTATTGTGGGCAGCTGTTTGTTTTTTGAATGTCATTAGTATAAGGGTGGTAAATGGTGTTTTTCTATCCAGACTAGGTTTTAAAGGCATTTTTCTGGTTTGTAGCCAGAAAATATAGGGATTAATTTGAACACATGGTACAATTACTTAATTTCCTCGACAGCATTTTGAAGACTCAATATTCACCAGATTTCTGTCTTTGCTTTTCAGGTGGTACCTTGAGAAATTTGAAGACTACCCAAAGAACAGAAAAATTGTGATCCCATTTGTGTACTAAGCCCTGTTTTTAACACTGTTTTTGAAGTGGCCGCTTTTTGTGATAGGTAACACTTTACAGGTATTGGCAGGCTAACAGCTTACTCTGATCATCACTGTGACAAAGCCTTTGCATCAGTGCTGCTATTAGTTACTGCTTTTCCTCTTAATGGGAACCCAGAATCTGATGGACATGGTGAACAGGAACAGAAATGCTTTTCCAGCAGTGGAGCACCATCATGAATACATGAGGCAATGACCTTGAATTCACATCATGGAAAGTACTGTATGGGACTTCTGGTACTTCCTTTTCTGCCCATGCAGGCTTCTGCTGCTTCCACTCAATCTAGCCACACTCTCCTGAGGATTATGCCATGAAGCTAGTCATCCTCACTGCAGTCTGGATGGTGTGTTCTGCCTGTTGTTATTCGCCTGCATACACAAATGGGGTTGATCTTTTCCTTGCCTTGTATTCCTTTCTTTCCACACCTGCATTTCCAGGAGAACTGATGATGCAGACCAAGAGTATTAGATTAATTTAGTTGTTATTAGGTGAGAGACAGTGTTCATCCTCCTTTTTGCACTCTTACACTGCTATGGACACTGTACAGATAATACTTAATACCATTTACACAAACAGCTGTAGTGCTACCTTTCCCAAATAATAGATTAAGATTGTCATCTACCTCTCAAATTTGATAACTATCTCAATATTCAGTATGTTCTTTCTCCATCACTGATCTACAGTTTTGGAAGGAATTCTTTATTTGGGATACTTAGGCCAGTCTAGCACTGTTAACAACTGTATAATGTTTTCTAACTTAATTTATAGAAAAAGACCTTAAGACTTTTACAAAATCCTTACTATGCTGGTTTTTAAAATATGAAGTCATCCTCCTGTTGGTAGTGGTCTAGATTATTTTATTTTCCAAAATCTGGAATATTTTAGTGTTGCCAGTTTTATTAATGTTAGTTCTTGTACCCCTACATTTTTCTCCTAAAGGATTCCAGAATGGTTTCAAAACCATGATGTGAAATCAAAAGATACAGGCTTGCGATTTTCAGGCATATCTGTGTCTTTGTATGGTTGTGATATTAAAGAATTTTTAGGATGGCTAAAAAAAAAATAAATCTAAGGATTTCTACAGAAAGCTTAAAAAAAACCCAAAACAGACACAAAAAAATGTAATTCCAAACCAACAACCAAATAATAATAATAAAAACCCAAAAACCAACACAGAAGGCCAAACAAACAAAAAAACCCAACACAAATTCTTCCCACAAACCCCCAAAATTCTGCTGCTAATATTCTTTGGAAATCAATGGAAATCAAACTTTTGACAAGTGTTTTCTGATCTGTTTACACTATGTATGATGGGTTATGTTCTTACAAATCAGTAATATCATTTTGCTTGATGCTGAGTTTTGCAGCATGGTATTGCAGGAGGCTTTGTCTGAAGCTTAAAGTTCTGTCTTTGCTGTTGAGTACACTGCTGTAGTAAGCAAAGTAACATATCTGATTAACTTTACCTTTAACATTTTACATATTACTTTAAAAAAAGTATATTCAGGAAATGGGCAGTGCAAAAGGACTTTTGTAAGCTTCTGCTTAATAGTTGTTTCTTCCTCCTTCTTGCCATATTTATACAGTACTTACTGCACTGAAGTCTTTGCTATCATTAAGGATTTACTCAGTGGTGGAAATAATTTTAACAAAAAAATCTACAGCTGTTGACTGTGGTAGTCAAAGGAAGGACGAGAGAGAAACTGGCAGTCCTATGGTGATGATAACATACCTACAGCTAAGCCCCTGAAGTGCCAGTTGCTTCTTATAATGACTGGGGTGACCCATCTTGCTCTCAGCCAATATTCAAAATGTTCAGCTTTGAGAGAACATAGGAATGCCCATTCTTTTGACATTACTGTAATTACTTGATTCTCAAATGTTTTAATTGTTTCTGTAGTGTTTAAATCTTTCCTTAATGTTTTACAGGAAGTTTGAGGCTTCCCCTGTTGTTTTTGTTGTTATACTCTAACTTGACATTTGATTCTAGCTCTGTTGATGAACTCTTAATAATGAAGTTCCCTGGTGAGGAGGATGATTTACTCCCTCAATGCTCAAGTGGAGATAGTGGATGATGAAAGTTCAATAGGACCATTTAAAGCATATTCTGAAGAGAATTTTAGAAACCAGATCTTATAAATTGAGATATTTCCAAACCCTATCATAGGGTGGCAGTTCTTAAATCCCTGTGGCAGTTTGGCAGTTTTTAAAATCTTGGTATCTAAATCATCCAGCTATCAAAATCTGGCTTGGGCAAAAAAATACAGGATTCATGGAGCACTATCTGCTGCAGTTGTTTAAGTACTTGCACAACTTTTGGTGAATTAATATCTTATCTCTTTAGGGATATTTGTTAAAAAAAACCCAACTGATGGCACAAGGAATCAGTAAAAAACTCTGGCTACAGCATTTTAGTCTCTAATCCATCTGGAGTTTTTTCAGCCTTTTATGAAAAGACAAAGATTCTTTGAAGAGTAAATAAGGAGAGAAATGCTCAGTGTTCAGTATGTCTCCTTATATTCAAGAGCAGTAGCTCTCTGTAGTCAGTAGTCTTTGTCATAGTTTACAGAGAATTGTAGGAATGCCTCAGTTTTGCTCTGGTGCTGTGCTGCTAAATATTTTGACTAAAAGTTCAGCTAGTTTGCTCACATAATGTTAATCTATGGTTTATCTGTAGCACTGCAAGGAACTGAAACATTATGCTCTGCCAGCTTGTCTGTGTTCTTCCTCTTTTTACAGAAAAGGAAAACCTAAAGGTCTCTGGGATGCAAATGTAAATCTGTTTAGAAATTCTAGTTATTTTGATTGTAAAAAAAATAAAATATTAAAAATAAAGAAGGTTTTGTTCTTTGTGCTTATATTTTATATTGTCACTGTACTGCTGGAACCTTTCATAAGTAAAGTACAGTATTTATTTGAGGCAGTTCATCTGAGAACAAGTCCTGTGAGGAACAAGTGGGGTTTTTTAATCTTGAGGAAAGGAGGCTGAGTAGAGACCTCAGCACTCTACAGCTACCTGAAAGGAGATTGTAGTGAGATGGGGCTCGATCTCTTCCAAAGTCACACGTGGTAGGACAAGAGGAAGTGGGCTCAAGTTATGCCAGGGGAAACTTAGCTTGGATATTAGGAAAAATTTCTCCACTGAAAGGGTTGTCAAACAATGGAGCAGGCTGCCCAGGCAAGTGGTGGAGTCACTATCCCTAGAGGCATTTAGAAGTTGTGTAGATGTAGTGCTTAGGGACACAGTTTAGTGGTGGAATTGGCAGTGCTGGGTTAACAGCTGGACTTGGTAATTTTAAAGGCCAAAATGATTCTATGATTCTTGGATTTCAAGACCCAGGTACGTTGGTGAAAAGCATATGATCATTTTGGTCAAATGCTAGAACTGGCTTTTGTTTAAACAGTATCTCATTTATTTGTCATACTTCACCTGTGCTCCATTCCCCTTTCAGCAGCTTTGACAGAATTCTTCTGTTAGAAAATACCTGATACTGAAAAATTTTAATTGAAAGTATGTGGTGTGAAGCTGAACCATGTTCTGCCCATTCCAGAAGGAGAAAACATGTATGCTTGCTATTGGGTATAATACCTGTAGCAATTTTGAACAGAGACACTTCTATTCCTATGATACTATCTTTCCCAAAAATCTTCTACTAATAAAATATGGTTTGCAGTGTCTTGCTTGAATGCTTTTTTTTTTTTTTTCCTCTGTTATTCATCCTTGCTATAACTTGTGGAGGTTGACCAAGGCTTTTGCACTAGCAATTTCATTATCCCAACTGAGGCCATAAGGACTATAATAATAAGGCTGTATTAGAATAACCTAGATGCATATGTGACCTTGACGAGATGCACTCAAATACATTATTAAAACTCACAAGGTGAAATTGTCTAGAGATACATAATTAAGAATGTAAAACAAAGTACATGGCTGAGATGTTCTGCACTTGCAGTTAGAGCAAAGATGAACAGAAGCAGACGCTACTCATTTGGATTCCTCTCCTGCTGCTAGGTCATGGTGAACTTTTCGTTTGGAACAACTTTAGCATCTGCTGTTTCAGTTGTGGTTCAGCATTGAGGAATGAAGATAGTGTACAAGTGACTTGTTGTGTAAACTTCTTTCAGCAGGCAAGAAATCCTAAGTGCCTACCACAGAGTTTTTACAGCCTGTTTGGGAAAAACACCTCCAATATACAGATGTTTGTTAATTTAAATAAATTAATAGTATTAGTATGTGAATGTCCTAACCTGTTCTACACTACTAAGTTTTAGCAGTAACAGTTGCACGTCTCAGGGCAGCCTTTCACACATACATCAGTCAGTTTTGTGATGAAAGCAGACCTCTGGGTAAAACTGTACCACTTTTTGCAGCAATGGAGCGATCTATCACAATCTATGTGTCCACACAAAAACACGTGAATTATGGATGTTCTTGCTGCAAGACAGTTGAAAGGATAAGTTGAAAGCAAGATTTGCAGCTGCGGGAGTTGCAAAAAATGTCTTAAAAAACATATCTCTTATGTCCCTTGCTTGGTGTACCAAGTTTGCTTTGAAAGCAAAACCAATACATGATGTTTTGTTGCGTACAAGTGGATAGTGGAAGCAATAGGTTATTTGTTCACAGAGATGAAAGAACACCTATATAATGATTGGTACAACATTTTGGGTAATGCCTCTCCAGGATGCATTACCAGTGCATTAGCAAGAGTATTGCAGTGATGTTTGTTCCTGCTCTTTAATACAGCCTCTTTTTTTTTTTTTGTATGTTCCTGATTACTTGTCCTGTTTCTGAGAGAATATGGGTGTTTGGTTCTGAAGAGGGAGCACTAGTGAAGCCATGTGTTCTTGCTGTCTTAGGAGGGAGTGCTCCATTTCTTTTGGGCTAATGGAAGGTAAAAACAGTACAAACTTTGATATAAACCAGAAAAGCAAGAGCTGTTTGACATAGCCATGAATCA